CAATTTTTAAGTTATTCTGGTAAAGTCTATATAAGTTTAATTATTTTATAAACCTGTGAAGAAAAGTTGTGCATAAAATGCTTTATTAATTCAATCTTTGCAACATTTGCTGAGTTTAGATAATAAAACTGTACATAAAAGTTTCATAATTTGGGGCTGGGAAGGTGGCTCAGTGGTAGAGCGCTTGCCTTGCATGCCTGAGGCCCTGGGTTCGATTCCTCAGTACCACATAAGCAAAATGAAAAAAGCCGGAAGTGGCGCTATGGCTCAAGTGGTAGAGAGCTAGCCTTGAGCTGAAGAGCTGAGGGACAGCACCCAGGCCCAGAGTTCAGACCCCACGACTGGACCAAAAAAAAAAAAAAAGTTTCATAATTTTTCCCTGAATTTGTGGTTAGTAGTCTCAGTCATTTATAAAGAGGTCAGTAATGATCTCTTTCCATTTTAACTCTAATTGTGAATAATACTTTATTGAGTTTTTGCTTAGAATTTTACTTAGAAGTATTAACTGGGTCATATTTTCATACTGTATTAAAACATGCTTGTAACTATTTTGAGAATACTGTTCCTAAAGGCCATAGCCAATGGTCTGGCAATGTTGAACTAAATCCAGAAATCATATTATAAACGTAGACTTAAAGTATACTGGTAAAGGTAGAGGATATATATCTATTTGAAAGTAGGAGAAATAAAATTTGATTATTTTTTCCTATGAGCTATTATCCCTTTACAAATTATTAAGCTCTACTAATAATATTTGCTAATTATTATTTAAGTAGCAGCCAAGTATAAATTATAATTCTCTGAAAACTCAGAATCCATGTTCCCTTTAAAGAATGAAATGGATTATTTTGCATTTAATTTTATTACCTATATGCCCTTTCAAAATAAAAACAGTTGACTAAAACATGTAAAACAAATTCACAAACATTCTCAAGTTGGACCAAAGGAGTCTGATAAAGTTTTATGCTCTGAAGGATAATGATGGTCTTTAATGATCCCACTGATACACAGAAGGAATCTCATAGACATACTGCACACTCAGTGTACTGCCTGGAATAGCAGATCAGAATTATTTGGAAGCTAGCACTTTACTGAATAAGAATCTTTTTTTTTAAGAAGACAGAAGTGATTCTACTGTAAGTTATATTTTATGAAACACTGGCCTACTGGTTCTAGGAGTTTACTTCACAGCTTATTGGTAGTGTAAATTTTGGGTAAGGTGTTAACTATTCTGTGCTGTAAATTTTATTTGTAAAATAACCATTCCTCATGAGGTTATTTCTTAGCACTTTAAAATACCACACCCACAGACAGAAGTTATACTAAGCTATCTGCCTGCTTTTGGTGCTAAGCATTGTGTGCTAGGTGGCAACAGTATCTGTAAGAAAAGACTGATGAGAAATCTGAAGAGAAATAACAGAATGTTTAGGGATGAAAGTCAAAATACATCAGGAACACACAATAATCCTGGCTACTCAATCTGTAGAAAGCTAAATGAGAGACATCTTAGTTTACTTTGAAATTTAGAAGTGCATGGTTTTTTTTTTTTTATTGTGAAAATACTGTACAGAGGGATTATAATTATATGGGCAAGGTAATGAGTACATTTCTTATCAAGCATTGTTGCCTCTTCCTTTGTTGCAATGGGTCCACCTGTATCCCTATGGTCTTATATAGCATGTTACATAGTTTAAGTAGATTAATATAGGAATATGAAGTGGTATTTAATATCTTAAAATTTGACAGCTCATAGTTGCTCTTAATTTAAAGTCAAGAAAAAAATCTCTTCTTCTACAATATAGGAAGCAGAATAAGAAAAGCTTCTTGTAAGGAACATTTTAAGTTTGCTCCCTATAGCTGGGATTACTCACCTCAGAAGTATTCATACAACTTCAATGATAATTTTAAGGGGCTAGAAATCTTAATGTAAGACCATTTTCAATGCTTTCTATTGTCAAAAATTCTTGTTTGAAATGAAAATCTTAAAGTGCTAACCATGTACCTCATCTTGCAAACAAATTTCTATGTGATAAAGGTTTTTTATTCTACAATTCTAGGCTACTTTCTGTAGCTTATAAAACACTGAATTGATTTAAAGCAGCCTTTCCAAATGGGAGAAATGTGTCTACTTTGAAACATGGGTCATTTTAGTAAAAAATAAATATTTAAGTAGGTTAGAAGCAAGGGAATATAGACTTTCAATAGAAAAGCTTTTGTTTGCAAGTGAATACCTGAAAATTTATACTCTTCTAGAATATTATATGAAAAGGAAACCATAAAAAAATCAAAATTTTTATCAATCTGGTACATCGATAACTTCTATGATAGCTTATATAATATGATAGTTTATAGACATTATATGTCTCCATATAAACTTTTAAATAAGTGTCTTTGCATATAAACTTGAGCCATGACCTTTGAGGTCACCATTGTGTATAGTTTAAAAACAACTCATAATGCTTAATTACTTGAGCAAAAGACAGAATCTAAAACATCATAATTCTAATTATGTTTCTTTTCTGTATGAGTTTATAGCTGTCTAAAAAGCTAGAGACTTAGAAATTACTAAGAGCTGGTTAAATAGTCTGATTAGATATCAGACTTGCATCAGTGGGTGGTAGTCTTACACAGATCACAATGTAACAAAATGATACAAATATGTATGTGGAATTCTTGTGTATGTCTGTTAACCACAGCATCTTGGAATAATTTTTCCCTGCAGTCCATTTTCCATTTTAGAAATTACTTGCCCGAAGTTAGATCATTACTAACTCCCAGATTTAACATGGAAATCAGGAATGATATACTAACACATAGGTCTGTACATTTAACTTACTCTATAGTACTACTGTTGTGCCTGTTATGTAATAGTCCAAGAGAATTTGGTAAATGATTGGCAAAAGCTTGGCCGGTCTTTTTTTGTATGATCGGTTTTGTTGCCCCAAATATATCTCTTAAGGTACAGATGCTAGTTATTATATCATCACATCATGTTTTGATTAGTCAGTGAGTTTGTCACTTGACTTAATAACTCAAGGATCCATGGAACTCTGGGGAGCTCTTGGAAGTATTTCACTTAGTTGATGTTTAGATGTGGATATTGATCGTATTATTAATTCATATTTATTTATGAAGACTTCTATTTTGGGAGAGTTTGCATTTTTATAAACATTCTTAAGTAATGGACAAAACTCCAGTTGTTAAAATCATGACATGGTTTGGTGTACACCTTTCCTGAAGTTTGATCTCCTGTGTTGATTGTATTCTTTCCTTTCTTTTGGCCAAGAGTCAGTCAAATATATCTTCTCTTCATTGTACTCTTCTTCTGCCCAGTCAGTAAAGAGGACATTTTACCCACATCTTCCTAACATAAATCTCTCTCCAGATGGAGAATTGAAGTCTTGTCTTGCTAAGGAAGGAAGAAAAGCAGTATATTCTGAAGTCTGGTAAAATCAAGAAAGACATAAAAAATGATAATGATAAGATTACCTGTTTTTATATTCTACCACATGGCATGTCTTTAAATGAATTGCCTATAATTTGTCTCAAATGCTGACATTTAACTCATAAGCTGTATAATTGTGCTTGATATTTCCAGAGTAAAATTCATATTCTGTGACCAGGCTAATATGTTCTCCTACTGCAAACATTACTGCCTATGGTAACAGCTAGAATAAAAAAAAAAGTCATTTTATATACAGAATGGCAGGCAGAGGCTCATGGGGCCACCACAAATCATTCCTGTTTTTTGGAGCTTGCTTTCAAATGCATGGAAATATAAAACCATCCAGGTCTAACATAGATTGACTTTGAAAGCCTGTTAACTTATTTAGGCCACTGTTCATTCTATTGTTAATATTGCTGCTTAAGACATTGAACAAACACTTCTAGTTAATAGATTCTCTCAACTAAATAACCAGTTCCTCTTCCATAAGCCATTTCCAGCTCTCTTTTTGTTAAAGGTTAATAATGAGAATAATAAAGCAATTGATTATTTATGCAGTCAGAATTGGTGGAAGTTATTAGAACAGGAATCCTCCCAGAAGCAGTGATTATGTTATGAAAAATGTTAAGGAATACAGAAACCAGTTATCAATTTTGACATTTAAGAAATATCTCCACCCTTAATCATATGATGATCTCTGTTAGAAATATTTAATAGAATAATTGCATTGGACAATAATTGCTATGCCAATAGCATACATAATTAAAAGCTAAGAGGAAGACTTCAAAATGATCTAAAGGAAAAAGAAACCTTAGAAGGAAATTGACACAATGAAAAGTTAAGAACAGAGCACTCTTTTGGCTAGACATATGTGTGTCCCAAACACCTAATCTCTGAAGTGAGTCTTTCTGATATAGCATTTTCATCTTGAGCACTTTTCAAATTTTAAGAGCTACATGAGGAAGTACCCCAGGGTATACTGTCATGTTGTCTATTTTAGTCTATAGAGAATGGAGGGAGATAAATGGGCAGAAAATGTCCTGGTCATAGTTGAAAAATATATCAGTGGAAAAATATTGTAACTGACATTATACTATATAAACAAGACAAAAATTAAATTTTAAGCCCATTTGGTTAATGTAGTTAACAACTTTGTGTAAATTAGGCAAGAATTACTTTTACTACAACAGTGTCATTTCTATAGACTTGGTTGTTTTTTTTTTTAAACAGTTTATGGTCATCCTAGTGGCTGTGAAGTGTTTTCTCATTGTGCTTTTGATTTGCATTTTACAATGGCGAATTATGTGTTACATATTTTCTTGTACTTAATGGTCATCTATGTATCTGCCTTTGATTAGTATATTAAGGGCCCGTTTTTAATTGGGTTAATAATCATTTATTGTTGAATTATATGACTTTATATATTCTCATTCTCTTATTCTGAAAATTACCTTTTCAATCTCTCATTTTTATGTCTGTTTATTGGAATCTGCAGTTCTAATGTGTGCAGTTTCAATCAATATTTTTCAAGTTTGCCCTTAATTTGCCATCTCACCTCTTCAGCGACAGTATAGAGAATGCCAAGAACTTCTAAGTCTCTATCAGAAATACCTATCAGAACAGCAAGAAAAGCTCAACATGTCTCTCTCAGAACTTGGTGCTGCTAGAATGCAAGAACAACAGGTAAGCCATTTTTATTTTACCCTTTCTTGTCTTCATGAGATCAGCAAGATGTCAGAAGGTCATTTGCCTTTTAGTTAATTATCACACAGTATGTAATATTGTTTTAAAATACTCAACTCCACACCACATTAGTTGGTATGTTTTGCCTTCCTTTTTTTTTTCCCCTGTTCTTTGGACCCAGAAGTCAGCAATGATAACATGAAGTAGGCTGTGGGTCAATGGGAAAACTCTGGTTGTAAGACAGTACAGTAGGAATGGTAAAGAAAATACAGTGATCTGTTCTTTTTTTAAAAAATTGATCTGTTCTTAATGAGAAGATCAAGTGGACTGCTTGTTAGTCATTACATTGTCTTTTTTTTTTAATCTGGTCTTACCTAACTCACATTCTTAATTCATAGAATAAATTTGACTTAGTGACTTATAAAAAGAGGAAATTGGAATGTTTTGCATGTGGTTTTGTATATTAATCACATATTAATCACACAAGTCAAATATATGAATATGTGTGTATAAGAGAGAAAAAGAGAGATCACCAAGTTGTATTGCATTATTAAGGGAATGATCTGCCTGTTCTGACGTAAAACTGTTATAAAGACACAGTTCTTGTCCTCTAGCCATTTATACTTGGTCTCTTTTTCTTGTCCATATAACTTTAAATCTTCAAATGAATGAAAATAAGCTTTGCAATTAAGTACTATAGAAAAAATTGTGTAATGTGTCAAAAATATTTTACATTTGATATCAAAATGTACTAAAAAATTTCCCTCTACCTTGTATTTGCAAATCCTTAAGGAAGATCAGATTAGGGTTTACAAGCCTTCTGAAAAACACATGTTCAATGTAGAGACAGCAGTTTCAGGATTAAGAATTTTGATTAAATGCACTTCTGTTCTGAGCCTAAAATTTGCACATAAGGATAAGTTAATAACAACAATACTGGAATGTGGTAAAAGTGAGACTTTTAACGCTATTTTTAAATTTTGTTTTTATGTTTAAGTAGTTGTACGAAGGAGTTGCCATTCAACAAAAATGATCAGTATTATCCCTTTCATCACTCACCCATCTTTAACTCAATCAATTTTTTTGTTGTTATTATTGTTGTTACAATTCTGTCATTTCTCATCTACTTACTAATTGGAATTGTTCTTGTTTTGAATTTTACTTTATTTTCTGCAAAGGTGATGTATAGGTGGTTACAGTTACATAAGTAGGGTAATGAGTACTTTTATTGTTGAACATTTTTATTCCCTCTCTCGTATTGTTTTTAATGTACTGTGAGAAGTTATTTTTTTCTTTCATTCCCCCCTCTTTTATCACCTATCATCATTGTTTTTGCTTCTAGTACCCTGTGTCTTTTGTATATACCTTCATCTGATTTGGGGAAGGGAAAGGGAATATCAAAATGGTGAACAAAGGACAAGGGATGAACCAATGTAACGGCAATACTTACAAGACACTATGTTGGAAATGAACTTTACAATTTAGGGTTGGGGGAAAGGAAAGTGAAAGAAAAATGAGGGAGGGGATAACAATCTCTCACTAGTTTATAAAATCACAAAAAAAATTGTTTTCTTAGAAGTGCTAGGGTTTGAACTCAAGGATCTCACTATTGCCAAGCTGATATTCTACCACTTGAGGCACTCCACCAGACCTTTTTGTGTTGTTTATTTTAAAAAGTGTGTTGCTTTAGGCTCAGGCCAGCTGGACTCTTTATGCTTCCCTTTGTTACTGGGAAGCCAGGCATGAATCACAATGCCTAGCTGTAAGTTAAGATGCAATCCTATGAACTTTTGTGCTTAGACTGGCTTAAACTACAATCCTCTGATCTTTACCTCCTAAGTAACTAGGATTATAGGCTTCCACTATCTCACCTGGCTAAAGTCATAAAAATGTTAACATATAGCCAAATTATTAATGTTTTATTTGTATTCTAATTTGAAAAGTTGTTTATTGTTGTTATTCTGGTTTTTTTGAAAACCTGAATAAAATAAAATGACTTCCTAGGAAAGTAGTAGCTAATCTTGATTATTTATATGACTTGGTCCCTTTCACTTGGAAAATAGTTCAGATAGTTCAAGTATCCCAAGCCTATTGTTGCTATTGGGTGGGCTAGAGAAAATTGCAGCATTAAGACCAAATGTATTGACTTAGAGTTAAGCTAAAGATTTCTTGGAGGTTTCACTGGTGATCATTCATGATTAACACTGTTTGTCTTAACTCTGAGGAAAAAAAACCACACACACAAAAAAGACAAATTACAAGTATTAGTATGAACATATTTTTCCAAGTATATGAAGAAAATGATTCCTCAAACAGGTATAACCCCTGTTTTCACTATATTTGATGTCAGTGCCCTGCATCTTGTAAATACATTTTTCTAATTTGGGGAGGGGAAGGGAAATAACAAAATGCTGAAATAAGGATACAGGTTGACCCATTGTAACAATGAGATGTACAAGACATTATGTTGAAAATGAACTTTACAAATTGGAGAGGGCTTAGGGGGGAGAATTTGGGGGAGAGGGAAGGGATGGTAGGGGAAAAACAAAGGAGAAGATAACAATGCTCAATTGGAAATGTACTCATTACCTTACTTGTGTAACTGTAACCCCTCTGTACAGTATTTTTTACAAATTACATAAATAAAAGTTAACAGTCACATTAAAAAGATGCCTGGAATGAGGAAGGTATCTCAAGGATAAAATACATGCCTAGCATGCATGAGGCCTTGGGGTTCATCCCCTAGTAGCAAAATAAAGCAAACGGTTGTCTTTAAATTTTGTTTTGACTTAATAAAGAAAACATTTTAAAACTATGTGTTAGCAAGTGCCATATGGTCAAGAGTTAGAGTATATTTTATAAACAAACTTATGCAGAGTTAAAGGCTATTTTTGTGGGCTCTGGCCATTGGAACCACGAGAAAGAAATTTAATTATTTTTGAAACACCATGTTTAGCACCTTTCTTGTTATTTGTTGTTATTTTGCAATCATTGTTTTTCTGCCCATGTACCACAACAAGATTTTTTGAAAACATATATGCTGTTGCATTGATGTTTTTGTGTATTCTTAGAGCCTAAATATTGACTTAGCAAATGTTTAAATTCTGCATTATTTTGATGGGTAAATTAGAAAGGTAGTTTGAGATTTCTATCATTTAAAAAGATTTTTTTTAATGATCAGTTTTAACTCCAGTTAATGCATATGGCATAATCCCTGTTTTTACTCTTCTGATTTTATTAAAGACTTATTACTACAGAAAAATCTCCAATTTCCCAAGATCTCTTGTCCTCTGTGTTTTGTTTGTTTGCTTTCACAACAAGTCCATATCACTTAATGGTTATGGAATAGTTAAGAAAGTGATGTATACTAAAGATAAATCATAACAGAGTACACATTTAATGTTAATGTTTTCTATCACTCTCGTTGGTGTAATTTTGTTCAAGGTGTTTTTTATAGTGCTTGCAGCTAAATATACTTAGAATTTTTTCATATTCTGTGATTATTGTCATGTGTTCTTTTGGTTAAAAATTTTGTTTATTTTGCCAATATATAGTCATGTAGTAAAGCACCCTATCATTTTATTATAATTTTATGCTTATTAATATGTACTTATGGTCATGTGGTAAAACTCTTTGTAATCGTATTCAATCTAATTATATGCATATAATATATGTCTATATATCATATCTTTTTGTGTATATGTGCTGGTACTAGAGCTTAAATTCTGCTGCTGGGTATTGTCTCTGAACTTTTTGATCAAAGCTTATGCTTTATCACTTGAGCCACTGCTCTACTTCTGGCTTTTTGGTGGTTAAATTGAGATAAGAGTCAGGTAGAATTTTCTGCCAGGGTTAGCTTTGAGCTGCAATTCTGAGATCTCAGCCTCTTTAGTAGCTAGGATTACAGGCTTGAGCCACTGGTACCTGGTATATATATGTATGTTAAGTACATCTAATACTAAGCTCACTTTAAATTTCACTAGTACTTTGCTATATAACAAGCTCAGATTTTATGAAAAGTCTGAGAAGCATCTCCATCCTTACAATTTACAAAGAAAACAAATTTAATATTCTTTGTACCACTAAACGCCATATAACATGAAAAATCTCTAAATAGAAACAAGAATAGGATTAATTACTGATTCTGCCTAGAAACAATGGAGAATAGTGGCAGTGGGATGAAATGTTCAAAAAACTGAAGGCAGTCAAGCAAAATTATTATTCAAACATGGAGGTGATATAAAGACATTCTCAAATAAGTAAAAATTGAGAAGATTTAGTTTCTATGTACCTGCTTTACAGTAAATATTAATAGAAGTCTGTGCAGATGAAAGGAAATAATATAAAGCAGTAATACAAGATCACATATAGAAATAAAGAGCACCAATGGAAGATAGTTATGTAGTTTTCTTAAATAATTTTAAAAACAATCATTTTAAAATTATACTGGTGAGTTTATAGGATATAAAGATTGTGTGTGTACATTTGTATGTGTTTGTACAAAGAGAGGAAAGAAGAGAGCATATCTAGTCTATGATCCTGGAATTAAGTTAGTATAAAGGAAGTAAATCTGTTTTTATTCACAAATAATGTGATCCTATATGTAGGAAAACCTAAAGAATACACACATACAGTAGTACTAATAGAAGAGTTTATCAAGATTATAGGTTATAAGATCTATATGAGGAAATCAATTTTATTTGTTTATACCAATGAACAATTTAAATGGGTGTACTTAATAAAAGAAATATGAAATTGTATGGTGAAAACTATAAAACATTGCCAAAAGAAATCTTAAGAAAATCTAGATTAATAAAAATGTGTTCTAAATTCATAGATTATGATTTAAATGTTATTAAAATGGTGACTTTTTCAGGGGCTGAGAAGGTGGCTCAGTAGTAGAGCGCTTGCCTTGCATGCATGAGGCCCTGGGTTCCATTCCTCAGCACCACATAAGCAGAAAAGGCTGGCAGTGGCTCAAGTGGTAGAGCGCTAGCCTT